GGGAAATCCGCCGCAAGAGAGACAAAATAAAATAATATATATATATATATTGATGCAGCGGTGGGTTGTTTGTTTGTTGTTGTTTTCATCCCATCATTGGACTCTGTTGCCTGCCCCTCTGGCCCCTATCCTCCACTTCTACTAGCTAGACGACCCAACCGGGGAGAAGGGTGGGTGTACCCCAACAGAACGCTACTCACTGCCGCATTTTTACATCCATGCACGCCCCACGTGTGTCGTGTGTGTCTACCGTGGTGCTGTTTCTGTCTAGCTTCGACTGCCCGGAGAGGAGGAAGAGCAGAGGGCGACGAGGCGATCGCAGTAGCTTGGGGTCCGGTGGGAAGACCGTGCTTCGGAGGCGAGCTTCTCCACGGTCTTGGGGTCGATTGCGGCCGCCACCTTTTGTTTGTGTGTGTCGTCGAAAGAAGCAGGAAAGGCCCGTGGCCGTATCCCAAGAGGGGGGAAGAAGAGGGTTAGCCAAAGCAGCGGCCGGCCGTCGCCTTTTGTTTGGGTCAGCACGGGAGGTCCGTGACGGTATCACAATGGAAAGAGAAAAAAAATAGATGATGTTCGTTAGTTTTGAGCTGCGGCCGTCTTTTTTTATTTGGTTCATCCCAGAGGTCCGTGAGGGTGCGGTAAGAGAGGAAGAGAAGAGCGTTAGTCTAGGTCTTGTTGGATCCGTGAAGGTGTGGTAGGAGAGGAAGAAAGAGCGTTAGTCTAAGCCTTGTCTGGGGCGTAACGCTAAGGTCCGTGACAGTCGAGTGAAAGTTGAGGCATTACTGCAGGGGAGAATCAAAAACTGCATGGTACCTCATTTTTTTTTTTTTCCTTCCATCCCGAGACAAACGCGTGGCACGAGAAAGGAGGCTTGTGCGGGGGTTCGGCATGAAGGTCACCAGAGCATAGACGTACAGATGTCACTGGCAACGTACCGATAGCAAAACGTAGCAACAATACTGCTTGCACGCACTCGGCACGGTCGTCGAAACGCACCAGACCGGCATTCCATCACGACAACCAGCAAAAAAAAAAAGAAAACAATTTGTGGTCGTCAGAAAACACGACAGAAAGAAAGAAAAATGTGGTAGCAAACTAACACCGTGAACCCGCATCACGAATCACCAACGATACCACGAGAAGAGTGGAAAACGCAAAACATCATGGCTGCTGTACTGCTGTACAGTCGTGACTCCGATACAAGGGGGTTTTGGTGACAAAGGCCTTCGACCAATCTTATATCGGAGCCCGGTCTTATACCGGAATAGGAGAGTACTCAACTGTGCTATGGCGGGTCGAGGCCGTGACAAACCAAACACGACCCCCTGATATGGGAACCCCCGCTAACAAGGTACCCTACCCTCATATAATGGAGCCACCACTGTACCTCCATCACCGCAAAGACGGCTCTCTGCATGGCTTCGTCCTGGTCGTCTAGGTGCACCAGCAGCTGCTCCGACATGTACTGGAGAACCGTTCCCCGAACGTTCTGAGGAGGGGTTGCCTGCACAGAGAAGATAAGACAGGCGAGAGCGGTATCGACAACGCTTCTCCCGATTAGACCTTTCCCAAAAATCCGGACGAGGATTGAAAATATCACAATATATTGACACACCGGAAAAGGAACGAACAAGACATGCGTACAAGCCTAAAATAACGCTGCACGCCTATCATTCGGCTGTGTTCCTGTTGAAGTGCATGCCGGGGATCAGAATCCAACGTCTCGGGCAGAAGAGAAGAGATTCACAAGCGAAGGCGCTACCGCCAGCTTCGTCTCGAATCCCCCCCCCCCCCCCCC